AATAATAACTAATAAATTGAATTGAACTCGCCCTTTCGGAAATTCACTGTACCAGTCCTGGTCATCGACGAAAGAAACGGTTTATGGTAGAGTAGCGCCTAGTCCACAGGTGATCGCAGGTACAAGGAACCAGTTAAGATGCGTAACGTCAACTGCGTTAGGATTATTCCACCAAATATGTATTCACTTCACAGCACGACCATTAACACAAATCACCTGACACGATCACTTAACGTATTTTTAATCGAACGTGTTGTTCCTACGTTATGAAAATTGGGGGCCCCGAAAGAGGCCGAGTGTTTTCAATGTAACCGATATGTTACACGTAGCCAAACGCTTGCACAGCAGCATCCGCGTTTCCATTATTACCCCCAGAACATTGCGTAATACTTTCATGAACTGAATATATTTTACGCCCGATTGCTAACCGACTGACAGAAGTTTTCCGAAGAAACTTCCTCTACCTCCAAGTAGCTTCTCACTCTTACCACGGCAACAGGGTTTAGGTAAAAAAAATCAGCGTTCTGGGAAAATACAGACCTAACCCCAGACTAGGCGCTACTTTACCATAAACCGTTTCTTTCATCGATGACCAGGATTGGTACAGTAAATTTCCGAAAGGGCGAGTTCAATTCAATTTATTAGTTATTATTATTTTTTTAATTTAACGCAAGCTATGACTTATTGCCGGTGATCATTCTGCAAGTTTCAGACTTTTTAAAGAAACCTATTCATTAGCTGTAACAATGTTACCCGTTATTAAACTACGGAATTTATCTGAATAATGATCAACGATCACTTCTTGTGCATTTTCTGTTTCATTACCTTTTTATTAATACGTTATTTGAAAAGGAAATTATGCATTCCTTATCATCTCACTTCAAATGATTATTTTTGATTCTGTTTAAAAAAAGAACTATGTATTCGTCTTTTTACGTTACACACGATTTTCCTCCATATGTGCTATATTCATTAACCACTTTAAATGGCAAACTGAAGATGATAAAAATCACGTCTTTTTTATTTGCTATTATACGCAGTTTTCTTCGCTGCATGCCGACTTGCTTGTTCGTAGCTTCGTAGCAGAAGCGCAGCGCATAGCCAACACTACCGCGGAAGCTTGGTCGGTAGACTTGCACTCTGATTGCTCGGGGTTTTTCGTTAATGTCTCTTTTGTTAACGAAGGCTTCGATAACATTTTTCCTAAGGAAATACTCGTTCCAAATTACTTCACGAGTGACCCATTTCAGGGACCTGTAACATTTTTTTTACACTCTGGATGTTCAAAGGTGATTGTCTCTGAAACGGAATAATTTCACGTCAGAATTAGGACTCTCTCCCCGAAAAATCAGTTCGTCGTCGGTTATATTTCCAATAATGGTTCACTCTGTACACCCATAAACCCTACATCATTTTATAGTTCACCGTACACCTAAATGCCGTAAAGAATATCTTCCACGTTCTCCAAAAACTCATCACTTACCGTTCGATCGCATAATTTTTCACCGAAACTCATCGAACAAAATCTCAGTCTCAATTTTCTTGCGACTGTGGTACACGAAACAACGTAAAAAAAAACGTTCAATGCATTCCGTGAAAGTATGCTTAAGGACGTTCCGCCGACAGTTTCATGGCGAGAAGAGTTCACGGGCAGCGGTCAAGCGTTCGCGGATAGTACAGCCTATAGAACGTCGGTAAGGAAGGTTGTGCTACAGAGAAGCGTTTCAAAGCGTAGAAGCTCGGCAAGCGAAACGGAATTGAAAAACAGAAAGATACAGAGATATATAGAGATATATATATATAGAGTGAACGTAAGTAAGAGAAAAGAAGGAAAAGAAAGAAAACAACGCAGTGTTTGTACGACCAATGACGGACGCCGAAAGAGGCTCGTACGTGGGCGTCATCTCTGGCCCAACAAATTGCATTGTGCACTATTTGCGCCACGACAAGTGGCGAGTCTGTGTGTACGCGTGCCCACATCTCGCGACACCAGCGTGGAGATTCCATGTGCACACACACGATCTGTGGCTAAGCTCACCTACGCACACACAAAACACGCGCGCCCATCATACTCTCCCACCCAGCGAAACCAAATACCCAGTCACACATACACACACACACACGCACGCACGCGCAAACACACACACGCACACAGACAGAGAAAAAGATAACAATATAATGTGTACGCGGTTCATAGTGATTTATAGCGACCAGAAGCATACTGCACACACTGACAATGATACAGCTCATATAGGTGTTGTATTTATACCTATAATTATAAGAAATATATATAAGTATATATATATATATGTCCATGAACATAGTGTTTGCAAAGTTTCGATTGTAGTCGCAACGTCGCACGAGCTATACTCTCTGTCTTTAATGCGATCGTCGGCTGGCCGAAAGGTTAAGGAACAAAGGATATGCAAGGTTTCGAGGACAGGGGCACGGTGCTATTCGCCGAATTTTTTCCGTGGTGTTTTCTTTTTTGCCTCTTTTGCCGCTGTTCGGTTCCCTCTTTGATCACATCTGTTGTTTGTTTACTCGAGACGTCCGCCTGATAACTCGTGGCGTCCAGAACCTACGAGACAGCAGAGGCCTGAGAGGTTAGGGGAGAAAGAAGGAATGAGATATATCAAGCAGCACCTCGCGAGGATTGACTGTCTTGGGAGGGGAAAGATGAAAGGAACAAGGGAAATTAACACACACACACACTGTGCGTGTGTGAGAGAGAGAGAGAGGGTGGTGGAGTTGGAATGAAAGGAAAAGGATATCTCGTGGAGGCTCGCCAACGGATATAAAAATCGCGAGTCACGTCCCAGGTGACAGTGTCGACTTGATTTGGTTTCCGCACAGGGCTCAACACCTGGGGTCCAGTCTCGTACACTCAGCTCCAAACTCGCTCTCTGGATCTCAACCGAACACGTGTCCAGCTCCGTTGCTTCGATTTACGGTGACACGCTGTGACGGAGTATTCCTTTTTAGCTTCTATCCGAATATACTGTTCGTTCTCTCTTTCGGAATAACCCGATCTTTTGTTCACTATTTCACATTTTGTGCAAGCTTTTCCCCCGATTCGATTGTAACAACGCCCGAAATGCATTGATTAAATTTATCATACACGTGATTCGTGAAACATTAATTCCTGAGCGACCGCGTAACGGCTCGATAGAAACCTGCATTCACAGAGATCGATCCAGTTTCACGCCAGTTTGAAACTGATTGCAGACACCGGAACAGTTACCTTTGAACACTACAAAAGTATACGCAATACACAATACGCCATATGATTACGCCTATATACGTATCTTAAATATTCAGAAAGGAAATATATATATGTATATATGTGTGTGTATACCATACATGTATACGATACGTGACGCTGTAATACACGCTTATATACGTATACAACTATAGATTTTACGAAGGAATACGTGTAAGTTTACACGTATATATGCGTGCCTCCAGCGTATGTGCGGCCTGTGGTGCTCGAATCGTGAATGCCTCTCCCCTCCCCAACAACTCACCCTCTGGATATAGATTCAGGACGTGTGTGTGTGCTGTTTGTAAACGAAATGCATTATTGTAAGCCACTTTTTCGGCGGTATCATAGATAGTACCCTTCCTCCCAGCCCCCACCCCGAGGCATACACACACATCCCACTCTCACCCCTTCGAAGCCCAGTGTGTTCGAGATATACCCTTCGTTCACTTTTATTCCTCCGGCTCGTAAATCCCTTCTACGTGATAAAACGAATCGCCGGAAAATGATATTGCAGCCGGGACAATCGTAAAAAGCGTTAGACCGGATTGAGGCATGGTTGGACGCATTTTTCGATGGCCGATTTCGGCACCCCCTCCTCGCCTATCGCTTTTTGCGGTTTGTTTTTGTTAATCCCCCCACAACTACCCTCCTTTCTACCCGCCTATGTGCCATTGTTGTTGACCTCTCGTCGCTGATTCGAGCACCACGGGTACGGCCATGCAACAAGAACATCGCAAATCGAATTAAACGAGTCAACCATAAACCATAAACGAAGTGGACAAGAATATATCTTGCGAAGACTGTGGAACGTAGCAAGGTTCCCTTGTAACAGTTCAGCCAGCCAAACAGCTGTGACGAGCTATAAAAACGTAGGTTAGTAGGCCATCCGTGTAGTGTAACATGTGAGTATGTATGTGTGTGTGTATATACATGTATACATACACACACATACATATATGTGGATGTGTGTGTGACGTGCCAATATGCTCCTTGCTGCCAACATAAATATCGGGAGTCCCCCGGGGGTGCCTATGTGTCCCTCGGTGCACGTATTTTTTCGCGTGTACGCCCGTCGTGTGTTTCGACGGGAAAAATACTTGAATTTTCGACCGTTTCGCGATCGACGGACGGTTACTGTACACCAGAATCCGTTCGTGTACGAGTATCACCGCGATCAGGGTAGCGTTAATGACCGGTCCGAATTTCGAGGAACAAAAAATGGTTAACGACATTATTAATCAGCCGTGTATGTTTGCCAAACTTACGTTCGTACTCGCCAAAGTTTGTCGTTCTTTTGAATTTTGCCGCGGATCCCCGAATGAGTATATTGCACGAAAGTGCACACACACGTATGCACGCCGGGGGATAATTGCGAGACATAGAAATCGGTAACAAGGCGGCATAGTGGGGATGAATCGGTGGCGAATCGGGATATGTTGATACTCAGACGGATCCCGCGGCCGACACGATTGATACGTATGGATCGACGTCGATCGATCGTTACGGCGGCATGATAATTCGATCCGCGAGTGATAAATGTAGACAGAGACAAATTTCACGTTTGTTAACTTTTCGACAGAAGAATGTGATTTAAGAAAGGGTGGGTGGGTGGGCGTGACGGGTACGAACGATAGGGGAGGGGTTATGGGTGGTGGTGGTGGTGGGGGGAAAGAGATGAACGAGAACGGCTGTCGATTGTGAGTTCTGTATATGAGTTTGAGAATGCAAACTGTACCATCAACACTTCGGACACGGAGCTGATGCTGAGGACATACATGGTGACACCGACCTCCACTGGTGGACCTGCAATCAACAAAACCATCCGGCCTTGGTCGCTGTGATTATCCGCTAGTTTCTATGTTTCCGTACAATATGACAGGTAGATTGTACTCGTATATAAAATAACACCGTGACGTTCGTGACTTGCCCCTGACTCGCGGACAGGCGAAGGTTCGTCGAATGAAACAGAAAATGAAAAGAACGAAATCATACATGTGCTGTCTCGTAAATATAACGACAGATGCATCTGGATCCGATCCGTTATTTCAATGGCCATTCTCTGGTGAACTTTGGATTGCGTTCGACTGATCGTATCGTGAAGGGATATACGAGAGTCAGGGGCGAAATGCAAGCGTACATGTCGAAGAGAGCTCGCACCCTGCACGGAACCAAATCAACAGCACTCGTCGGCCACGTTGCTTTCTAAGCTAGAAGAATTATTCATACTTGACTCGTTATGTATAGTATATATGTATAAATCCCTTGTCTATTATATACAGGGTGATTCATGTAAATGCATGTCAATAAATCAGAGGGTAAATTTACACAGTAATATAAGTAAAGAGAGAACGTAATTTGAACATTTTACGTCCTATACACATTAATTTTTCGAGTTATGAATGATTACAGAAAATGTTCGAAGCGCCCCCTAAACACACGTACTGCACGTCGTAGCATGGAGTCCCGTAACCGATGGAAAATACGAGGTATTCATCGAATACTCTCAAATCCTATTGTATCCTTTCTTGCAAATTTGTGCAAATTATTCACTTGCGTTGAATTGACAGTACTTTTTAAACGGTCCTGAAAATAAGAGTCTAATGGGTTGAGATCGTGCACTTCGAACATTAAAGTATAAAGGACACATATTCATAAGACGTTTTGCACTTATATCAATGTATAAATTTACCCCCTGAAGTATCGACGTGCATTTATGAATCATCCTGTGTGTATATCTATAAACTCATCACAAGTCACGTAGCAAAAGGTGACTTTCACCTTACTTAACTATCGCTTTTGGTTTTCTTTCTTTTTTCCCGTTACGCTTTCGTTCATACCGCTCTTAATTGTAACGGTTTCCAGTTATCCGCTGGCTTTTGTAGTTAGCCGAGCACATCGTGTCGTTTCTAATTACTAGACTGTGGATTTGTATGAAAAATCACATTTTAGAAGGTTCTTCGTAAAGACTAAAAAAAATGTAGGAAGTTCTTTCTATACCCAAGTATCTTATTGGGCTCGAAAGAAAATAGAAAATCCGTTGCATCTGACGATAAATTTCGTGCTTCATTGTATTTCACAGATACCTATAGACTATAAATGCATAAAATCCGCAGTCTATTAATTTCATTCCGTCCAAACTAGACGCTCTGGTCTCTATGTCGTATGTATATGCTTCACAGGGATAAAGAAAAAAGAAGAATCGGATCCTGTTCGTTCTCAGACCTTTACCGATCGGATCTCTCGCGTTCGTCACCTATTCCATCCCCCGTGATCGGTTCAACCGGTTTCACGGTTGATCGGTTATGTAATCGCTACCAAATCTAACCCCGTGAAATGATGGAACACGGTATGTGTCGCACAAAAATACGCTGCCATCATCACTGCGATCATCGATTCCGCACGAATCTTATTGGTCATGGCTCTCGGGTCTTTCGATGTACAGGATGGTAAAAATTCGATGGCTTCGTAACTTCTAGGTTGAATAATATTTGTCAAACGACGAAAGAGAAGTGCTAATAAACATGGGTCGATAAGTTAATATTTTCAAAGTTGTAAATAATTTTGATACTTTCTCACTTCAGGAGCTATCGTACCGTGTGGAAATAATGGATTACCTTAATTTCTTCTTCCTCTGGTAACAGGAATTACCATTTCTTCTTCCTCTGGTAACAGAAGGTTCTCTACAATTCTTATTAGTGTCTTTTTTTATACAATTTTCTTCATTGTTTCCATACGGTACGGTAGCTCTCGAAGCGAGAAAGTTTCATTCGCTTTAACCAAAACAAAACATTGTTTATAACTTTGAAAATATTAATTTCTCGACACATATATATTAGGCCTTTTCTGTCATCATTTGGCAAATACTATCTATCCCAGAATTTATGAATCTTTTTTTTGCATAACCCTGTATACTATGACATGTTTCTTTTTTGGACGTCGTTCTTTTAAAACACGTTGAGAGACCCAAAGTAATTTTCGTGTTCGAAAAAAACGAACATGTGATAACGTGCGGTGTCAGACACAAGGGGGGTTAGGGGGTGAGAAGGTAGTGTGGTGGATAGTGATTCTGGCAAATGGGGCGAGGGTTCACAAAGTCGGGAGCGCGGGGGGGGGGGGGGAGTAAAATATAGAATAATAAGAATTGTAAGTGGTGGCAGGCGGGCAGCCCATTTCAGCAACCGCGGCATAGCAGCTAGCGTCTAAAAATGGTCTAACGGGACGGTCGTGCGTATGTAATATCCAAAATTGAACAAGATACTATATTCTTCTACTAATAGAGGAAACAAAAATGTTATCGTTCCGTTTCGTCGTTCCGCACAATAGAGCAGACCACGCTTCAGACAGCATAAGGCTAATAAAAGTATAACAAGCAGGAAACAGTGAGACATATATATATATATACACATATATATATATAACCCATAAGTTCTTGCCCTTTTCAACCAGTTTTGTGTGTGTGTATTTGTGTGTATTTGTGTGTATTGGGCAGTCCCATAAGTCCTTGCCATTTTCAACCAGTTTTATTTTTATTTTGTATTTATGAAAACTTAATTTCTATTCCACGAAATAATCACCGTCATTATCAATAACATTCAGATATCTGCTCGGCAAGTTTTGAATGCCTTTCTCCCAGAAAGATCGGCGTTGGGATGTAAAAATGTCACCAATGTACTTTTTGAGGGTGGTATACTTGTCATAGTTCTTGCCCAGTAGATGTCGTTTAAGAGCTCGGGACAAGTGAAAGTCCGAAGGTGTAATGTCCGGGCTGAAAAACTTTGACATATGCTGACACGAGCGGCCCGATCATGATCGGTCAACGCGTGAGGCGTCCATCGCGACATCACTTTGCGGTAGCTCATCGAAATAAAGTGGCGATCGATGGTTGTGATGATGATCGAAGAGCATTCTCCAAAACTTGCGTGCTGGAATATGGGTGCAGCTCGAGTTTACCATGTAGATCATCTTCGTCGAAGGTAGTTGGTCGGCCAGAGCGGGGTTGGTTTTAACACCTTATATTGCCCTCATCAAGGTACGTATATCAGAAGCGTACTTTCCGATCGCTACTAGTACCTGGCCCGATTGCAGCGTTAATCTTCTTAGCTGTCTCCGTTGAAAGGTGCTCATACAACATAATAGTTTGCAGTTGACGTTGTTCCATTTTCGTTCTCTATTAATCTCCCTCTTACGCCCGCGCCAATTTATACCCATTACTTGCACATTCTGAAAACTTCTCGGGCCGGCTTCGATTCAAAAACGAAAACGTTCGAGAAACAACGAACTCGGCAAGGACTTATGAGGCAGCCCAATATGTTCGTCTACTAGATTCGGAAAAATTGGAAGATCTAGTATGAATTATAGGCCTTTCAGAGATGTAGAGCAGCGATGGGCAACTCAGCGCCCTCCAAACTCACTGGCGGGCAGCGTGCGGGTACATAGTAGTGGTGGGGGAAATGAGTGACTGAGAGCGCGTATCTATAACTCACTTCATACGCAAGCGACGTTTCCTGTCGCGCATCCCCTCCACAGGAGCCCGCGGTTGCCCGCCATTTCTCCGTACGGGCAACGTGCCCGGCGGGCGCGGTTGCCCATCACTGATGTAGAGTATCGTCGATTGCCAACGTGTTCGGTAAGAAATAAATTAGTGTGTGGAAAAATATAATGAGACAGTGTGTGTTTTTCTAGTGAGTGTGCGTGTACAGATACATCCGCCATTGTTCTTTAAGTTCTTCATATTCTCTTTATTATTGTTTTTTTCTTCTGAGTGTAGCCTACTAAGTCTTTGTGAGCGCACTTTTATAGTTTCACGCAACACGGAAATAGTACTTTGTCCATTTTTGGGTTCCGTGTTGTTCTGTTTTGTAGTAGTTTCCGAATCTCTTCGGGTGTCGGTCCGTGTTCCATGCACGCGCATAATTATTCTAACATCGATACGAACCGCTACTATGGTAACTAGGCGAACGTAATGGAACGTATCAAGTTGGTCAGAACTCTGAACCGAATCCGGTTTATCTCGTTAGCCGGCAAGTTGTTGTGGCGAGCCGTGATTGTCATCGCTTATGAGGGATTGATACACTGCATCCTTGATACGTATATTGTTCGGCAGAGGAATTAATGAAAAGTACTTCGAAGGTAATTATATAGAATATTATAAGTAACATAGATCATGCTTGGGAATTAACTGCTCTTCTCGGTCGATTTTCAATAGCAACGCCCTTAGTGCTTGATGCATCTCAGGTGCGTACCATTAAAGCTGCACTCGTATCAATAGATTTCTTTTGTATTATTATTTATCGTATTATTCCTTGTAAAATATGGACAATTTGAAATCAGAATTAGTACTTGCTAATTAGTAAGCGATTATTAACTTGGGTGATGTGGAAACCTACTGATATGAGTGTGGCCCTAATCTTCCACGTGCGGTTCAGATGGTACGCGCCTGAGGTGTATCGAGCAATGTGGCCGTCGCAGAAGTGAAGGCCCTCAGGGAGCGAAAGAGGACGTTGCTTTTAAAAATCGCTCGAAAAGAGCAGTTAATTCCCAAGCCTGATTATAAATCATTCGCAGAACAGAAAAGTTTGACTTCTAGCGATACAAGAAAGTGTTTGAAGTATAAAATCGCTCCCTCCGATAGGATAAGTATAGTAAAAGTGTCTCTCGATATTCTACGTATTGGAACCGTTCGAGAGCGAACATCGAGGCAGGGTTCTATTTTTGCGTTCTACGAGAAAGAGAAGTAGCATAAACTGAGAGTAAACGAGATAGAATTGCAATGAGACATCAATAAGGAGTCATCCATTGATAGA